TGTCGATCTCTTACAGGTTAGCATGATATTTTATCCAGATTTACTCTGTCAATCTCTTACAGGTTAGTATGATATTTTATCCAGATTTACTCTGTCGGTCTCTTACAGGTTAGTATGATATTTTATCCAGATTTACTCTGTCGGTCTCTTACAGGTTAATATGATATTTTATCCAGATTTACTCTGTCAGTCTCTTACAGGTTAGTATGATATTTTATCCAGATTTACTCTGTCGGTCTCTTACAGGTTAGTATGATATTTTATCCAGATTTACTCTGTCGGTCTCTTACAGGTTAATATGATATTTTATCCAGATTTACTCTGTCGGTCTCTTACAGGTTAGTATGATATTTTATCCAGATTTAATCTGTCAGTCTCTTATAGGTTAGTATGATATTTCATCCAGATTTACTCTGTCGGTCTCTTACAGGTGAGTGCAATATTTTATTCAGATTTACTCTGTCAGTCTCTTACAGGTTAGTATGATATTTTATCCAGATTTACTCTGTCGGTCTCTTACAGGTTAGTATGATATTTTATCCAGATTTACTCTGTCGGTCTCTTACAGGTTAGTATGATATTTTATCCAGATTTAATCTGTCAGTCTCTTATAGGTTAGTATGATATTTCATCCAGATTTACTCTGTCGGTCTCTTACAGGTGAGTGCAATATTTTATTCAGATTTACTCTGTCAGTCTCTTACAGGTTAGTATGATATTTTATCCAGATTTACTCTGTCGGTCTCTTACAGGTTAGTATGATATTTTATCCAGATTTACTCTGTCGGTCTCTTACAGGTTAGTATGATATTTTATCCAGATTTACTCTGTCGGTCTCTTACAGGTTAATATGATATTTTATCCAGATTTACTCTGTCGGTCTCTTACAGGTTAGTATGATATTTTATCCAGATTTACTCTGTCGGTCTCTTACAGGTTAGAATGATATTTTATCCAGATTTACTCTGTCGGTCTCTTACATGTGAGTGCAATATTTTATTCAGATTTACTCTGTCAGTCTCTTACAGGTTAGAATGATATTTGATCCAGATTTACTCTGTCGGTCTCTTACAGGTTAGAATGATATTTGATCCAGATTTAATCTGTCGGTCTCTTACAGGTTAGTATGATATTTTATCCAGATTTACTCTGTCGGTCTCTTACAGGTTAGTATGATATTTTATCCAGATTTAATCTGTCGGTCTCTTACAGGTTAGTATGATATTTTATCCAGATTTACTCTGTCGGTCTCTTACAGGTTAATATGATATTTTATCCAGATTTACTCTGTCAGTCTCTTACAGGTTAGTATATTTTATCCAGATTTACTCTGTCGGTCTCTTACAGGTTAGTATGATATTTTATCCAGATTTACTCTGTCAGTCTCTTACAGGTTAGTATATTTTATCCAGATTTACTCTGTCTGCCTCTTACAGGTGAGTGCAATATTTTATTCAGATTTACTCTGTCGGTCTCTTACAGGTTAGTATGATATTTTATCCAGATTTACTCTGTCGGTCTCTTACAGGTGAGTGTAATATTTTATCTAGATTTACTCTGTCGATCTCTTACAGGTTAGTATGATATTTTATCCAGATTTACTCTGTCGGTCTCTTACAGGTTAGTATGATATTTTATCCAGATTTACTCTGTCGGTCTCTTACAGGTTAGTATGATATTTTATCCAGATTTACTCTGTCGGTCTCTTACAGGTTAGTATGATGTTTTTTCTAGATTTACTCTGTCGGTCTCTTACAGGTTAGTATGATATTTTATCCAGATTTACTCTGTCGGTCTCTTACAGGTGAGTGTAATATTTTATCCAGATTTACTCTGTCCGTCTCTTACAGGTAAGTGTAATATCTTATCTAGATTTACTCTGTCGGTCTCTTACAGGTCGGTCTCTTATATTCTTACAGGTTAGTATGATATTTTATCCAGATTTACTCTGTCGATCTCTTACAGGTTAGTATGATATTTTATCCAGATTTACTCTGTCGGTCTCTTACAGGTTAGTGTGATATTTTATCCAGATTTACTCTGTCGGTCTCTTACAGGTTAGTATGATATTTTATCCAGATTTACTCTGTCGGTCTCTTACAGGTTAGTATGATATTTTATCCAGATTTACTCTGTCGGTCTCTTACAGGTTAGTATGATATTTTATCCAGATTTACTCTGTCGGTCTCTTACAGGTTAGTGTGATATTTTATCCAGATTTACTCTGTCGATCTCTTACAGGTTAGTATGATATTTTATCCAGATTTACTCTGTCGGTCTCTTACAGGTTAGTATGATATTTTATCCAGATTTACTCTGTCGGTCTCTTACAGGTTAGTATGATATTTTATCCAGATTTAATCTGTCGGTCTCTTACAGGTTAGTATGATATTTTATCCAGATTTACTCTGTCGGTCTCTTACAGGTGAGTGCAATATTTTATTCAGATTTACTCTGTCGGTCTCTTACAGGTTAGTATATTTTATCCAGATTTACTCTGTCGGTCTCTTACAGGTGAGTGTAATATTTTATCTAGATTTACTGTCGGTCTCTTACAGGTTAGTATGATATTTTATCCAGATTTACTCTGTCTGTCTCTTACAGGTGAGTGCAATATTTTATTCAGATTTACTCTGTCGGTCTCTTACAGGTTAGTATGATATTTTATCCAGATTTAATCTGTCGGTCTCTTACAGGTTAGTATGATATTCTATCCAGATTTACTGTCGGTCTCTTACAGGTGAGTGCAATATTTTATTCAGATTTACTCTGTCAGTCTCTTACAGGTTAGTATATTTTATCCAGATTTACTCTGTCGGTCTCTTACAGGTTAATATGATATTTTATCCAGATTTACTCTGTCGGTCTCTTACAGGTTAGTATGATATTTTATCCAGATTTACTCTGTCGGTCTCTTACAGGTTAGTATGATATTTTATCCAGATTTACTCTGTCGGTCTCTTACAGGTTAATATGATATTTTATCCAGATTTACTCTGTCGGTCTCTTACAGGTTAGTATGATATTTTATCCAGATTTACTCTGTCGATCTCTTACAGGTTAGCATGATATTTTATCCAGATTTACTCTGTCGATCTCTTACAGGTTAGCATGATATTTTATCCAGATTTACTCTGTCAATCTCTTACAGGTTAGTATGATATTTTATCCAGATTTACTCTGTCGGTCTCTTACAGGTTAGTATGATATTTTATCCAGATTTACTCTGTCGGTCTCTTACAGGTTAGTATGATATTTTATCCAGATTTACTCTGTCGGTCTCTTACAGGTGAGTGTAATATTTTATCTAGATTTACTCTGTCGGTCTCTTACAGGTTAGTATGATATTTTATCCAGATTTACTCTGTCGGTCTCTTACAGGTTAGTATGATATTTTATCCAGATTTACTCTGTCGGTCTCTTACAGGTTAATATGATATTTTATCCAGATTTACTCTGTCGGTCTCTTACAGGTTAGTATGATATTTTATCCAGATTTAATCTGTCAGTCTCTTATAGGTTAGTATGATATTTCATCCAGATTTACTCTGTCGGTCTCTTACAGGTGAGTGCAATATTTTATTCAGATTTACTCTGTCAGTCTCTTACAGGTTAGAATGATATTTCATCCAGATTTACTCTGTCGGTCTCTTACATGTGAGTGCAATATTTTATTCAGATTTACTCTGTCAGTCTCTTACAGGTTAGAATGATATTTGATCCAGATTTACTCTGTCGGTCTCTTACAGGTTAGAATGATATTTGATCCAGATTTAATCTGTCGGTCTCTTACAGGTTAGTATGATATTTTATCCAGATTTACTCTGTCGGTCTCTTACAGGTTAGTATGATATTTTATCCAGATTTAATCTGTCGGTCTCTTACAGGTTAGTATGATATTTTATCCAGATTTACTCTGTCGGTCTCTTACAGGTTAGTATATTTTATCCAGATTTACTCTGTCAGTCTCTTACAGGTTAGTATATTTTATCCAGATTTACTCTGTCGGTCTCTTACAGGTTAGTATGATATTTTATCCAGATTTACTCTGTCAGTCTCTTACAGGTTAGTATATTTTATCCAGATTTACTCTGTCTGCCTCTTACAGGTGAGTGTAATATTTTATCCAGATTTAATCTGTCGGTCTCTTACAGGTTAGTATGATATTTTATCCAGATTTACTCTGTCGGTCTCTTACAGGTTAGTATGATATTTTATCCAGATTTACTCTGTCGGTCTCTTACAGGTTAGTATGATATTTTATCCAGATTTACTCTGTCGGTCTCTTACAGGTGAGTGTAATATTTTATCTAGATTTACTCTGTCGATCTCTTACAGGTTAGTATGATATTTTATCCAGATTTACTCTGTCGGTCTCTTACAGGTTAGTATGATATTTTATCCAGATTTACTCTGTCGGTCTCTTACAGGTTAGTATGATATTTTATCCAGATTTACTCTGTCGGTCTCTTACAGGTTAGTATGATGTTTTTTCTAGATTTACTCTGTCGGTCTCTTACAGGTTAGTATGATATTTTATCCAGATTTACTCTGTCGGTCTCTTACAGGTGAGTGTAATATTTTATCCAGATTTACTCTGTCCGTCTCTTACAGGTAAGTGTAATATCTTATCTAGATTTACTCTGTCGGTCTCTTACAGGTCGGTCTCTTATATTCTTACAGGTCAGTATAATATTTTATCCAGATTTACTCTGTCGGTCTCTTACAGGTTAGTATGATGTTTTTTCTAGATTTACTCTGTCGGTCTCTTACAGGTTAGTATGATATTTTATCCAGATTTACTCTGTCGGTCTCTTACAGGTTAGTATGATATTTTATCCAGATTTACTCTGTCCGTCTCTTACAGGTAAGTGTAATATCTTATCTAGATTTACTCTGTCGGTCTCTTATATTCTTACAGGTCAGTATAATATTTTATCCAGATTTACTCTAGTCTGTGGTTCTTTAACAGGTTAGTAAGTGTTCTGTAGTGCTCTTACTCTCAAAGGCCTGCAGAAATAGCTCATGGTCCGCTTGAATCTGCTCCATCTTGGGCTTTTTTACAGCGTTCACAGCCGAAGATGATGATGAAGATGAAGACGAAGATGTAGATGAAGGGTACATGGAGCCATTGGCTTTGCCGTGTGAAGCAGCGCTCATAACCTGAGCGGAGTATTTCTGAGGCGCCATCAGAAACAATACGAATCACAAAACTGGAACAAAAGGGCAAAAAAATATAGAGAAAACTAACCAGCTAAACCAGCTAACGGTGGAAAGCGGACTTTACCATCATCTAGACATCGGATAAGGAAAGATACCGGTCACTCGGACCAGTAAAGCACGATTATATTAAACATTAACACCATTCATCTGAATGTTTCATCTAAATCCGTTAAATCGAGAAAACTGCCGTTAGCCAGTTAGCTTAGCGATGCCCGAAACCGACGAATTCATGCCGAATAGCACCAAAATACTCCTTAAACCACAGATGATATAAAGCAACCGTTATATCTTCGCGGTAGTGTCATATTAACGTGTTGTTTGCATATCAAAAACATTTATTTGGGCGAACAAAATCCTCCAAACTAACGTAAATCGGCGCATATTGAGGATTTTCACCCCCTTCGAGCTCGGACAGTGGCGCTTCTTGGCGCCCGCCCACTTCAAAAGTCTCCACCAATCAGATTCTCCTGGCGACGAAATTCTATAATCTCATTGGTAGGGCGGCTTCTGATTGACGCGCCATAAAGGTTGGCGTAAGTCTCGAATTGCCGCCAAGAAAAAAAGTTGTTTTGGTCGGTAATATTTGGTCACATTTGTTGAAATATTGATATCGAATAGGCCAAACATGAAACATTACATGATGAAAAAAGGGAAGAAAGAACACAGTAAAGCGTCTACACAGATATTCGTGTTAAATAAAGTCTCTCAAACTGGTGGATGAACAAAGTTAAGACAAATGAACAAGAAAAAGCAGCAAACAGTGCCATTTATTATAACGTACTAGATTTGTAAATTGTCTGTTCAACATAACCCAGCAGTATCGAGCGGATATGCTAGTAGGATATATTTACCACGACGAGTGTTTCCGTACGGACTCTTTTGTAAGACGGCACTGGACAGCCTGCGAATCCCCTAGCTTCATTTACACACGTGTGCAGGATGTAAAGAGGGGAAAATAATTCAGATTTAAGCTCTCATAGTTGATTTTTCTTTCTCTAAGCACATCTTAGGATCGATATAAGTCTGAATAAGTGGTTTTGAGATGGCTGATTACGTCCAGCAGCGTTTAGAGGACAGGATTCCTGGCCTGGAGCAGCTGGAGAGAGTGGGGCTCTTCACCAAGAAAGAAGTCAAGTGAGTCATTAAAACAGTTCAGTCAAGAAAATGTAGTCTTTTACTTTAGAGCCAGTGTACCTTTTTTATTGAAAGCAAACATAGTACACAACGTCAGATGCATATAAAAATGTATATGTAACAGTGTACACATTTAAATTTGATAGGGAGATGTACATAACTAACAACACATAAATATTGGAAGTACAAAGTACAAATATGCTCTAACAGTAGGCTGGATTAATTCAATATAATGTTTCATCTCCTTTTCAAGGGCAACTGAATGGGCCTTTTGCCTTGTGAATATTTAAAATTAAAGGTATAAGATTTATCATATATACATGTGTGCATTTAGCTTTTGTGATTTTCCCAAAGACCAAATAATACATGCTTTCATTCCAATAAACAATACCTTTCATTTATATTATGTACAATAAAAGCACTGAGGTTAACTTTTTTTTTTAGATATTGACAATGCCAGAATAAGTGTAGTTGATGCTACAAAATGAACAAGCTGTGTCAATGTTATGTTTACACTTTATAAAGTAATTTTTAGCTGGGTAGATTTTATGTAAAAGTTTTTGGGCCACTTTATTAGTAAGTACGTATAGGTTAGGTATTAGCCAGATCTTCTTCCACTGAATGTCTTTGATCCAGTGTCCCTTTTGTGAACATGTGGCTCTCTCTAATATCAACACTACTTTCTTTGAAGAAATCAACATATATGCTTAGATAAAAGCATAAATTTTGGAAAATATGGTCTCTTGTTTGTACTTGCTTTGAAAATCTCTTTAAACCTATTCCAGCGTTCTTCATATATATAATTGAATGTCTATTTATTGTATTCTATAGTTGTGCTGACCTGCTCAAAATAAAAAAAATGCAATTTAAGGCTTTAATAAATGTTAATGATGTTATACTGACCTTTTCTTTGTATTCCAGATCTATGCTGAAAAGATCCACAGCTCTGGAATATAAGCTCCACAGAAGCGTGCTGAGCAAAGATGATTTTATTGCATATATTCAGGTGAGATTCATTCTGCACTAGTATTCTTTCACATTTAGAAATACTGAGATTTCACTAGGGCATTCAAAGTGTTTCTTTACCGATATGCATGTTTACCTTGACTTATTGGTATCGATTACTGAATAGTACTAATAATACACTTCTTCAAATACAAAGACATAGCTAAAATTCCAAATTGCTTAAAATGAAATATTCCATTAAAATAACTACTCATTTAGAGCTGGGCGATATGGCGAAATGTAATATCATGATACTTCAGGAAGTTCTTTTTATGATTCATAATGTGTCATCATGTTATTTTTTCTTGCATTATTTACAACAGACATACATTGTAAAATATCATCAAAAACTATAAATCCAATTACTTACATTCATCACTTCACACACTGTGCTGCACTAAATCCAATTGAACAGGACTAATGCTCACTTTTTAATCAAACATGCAGTTGGAAAGTGTTTAAGTACTGATGATATCTAAAATATGCTCAGAAAAGCATATTGTGACATTGTGATATAATGAACCACAATAACGATAAATATTGTCATATTGCGCAGCTCTATACTGATTCCTCATTACTTGGATATTAAACATTTGGCAATGAAAGACACAGAATATTTTGATACTGATATATTATTATAGTAATTCAGTATTGAATCTCAGTACCCAGGTCAGCAATAAACAGATACCGCACTTAGCTACGGAGATCAGACATGCAACTCTAATATTCTGTAGATTTTATTCACTCGTCCTGTACTGACCAGTTCATCTTTTTTGCCCATTTGTTCATCAGTATGAAATAAATGTGCTGGAGCTCATCAAGAAGAGAAGAGCTGTGAGTAATCTTGACTTTAAATTCAGTCCTGAAGGATTACCTTTTCATCAGCAGCACACCTGATACTGATGTAGCTTAATGAAGTATTGATTTTCCAAACAAGCTGCTGGATGGTAGTACTGTCATTTATGAAGGCAGTAAGCATTCTTTATGAATTAGCTTAACCACTACCAAAGCTGTCCTGGAGGAAGACCAGCATGTACAGTTACCATCCAGTACCTAGTTTATCTAATCAGTACTTCATTAAATTAAATCAGGTGATTGAATTGAACAAACCCATGCAATGGCTGGAGTGCAGCAAGAAGTCAGGAACCAGCTCTGTGTTCCTCTGTGTTCTTCTAACCTACATGTTCATAACTTCAAGGAAACACATTCTCCTTTACTTTTTACTGTATTTAGAATTTATTTTAATGTTTTACAGTGTTTTTATTGGCAAAACACACATTGTTGAAATAAATAGTGTCAATAATATCTTTCCTGCCTAAGACTTTTACACAGGACTCATATGTTTAAATATAAATGTGTTGCCAGATTATTTGTCAGAAAGTTATGCGTTGCATCAGTGAACCATCTTGATTCTTTATTTTATGTTTTTAGAGAATTGGCTACCAGTTCAAAAAGGAGGATATTGAATTTCCCATCATCAACAGGGTCATGAGTGTTTTCAGGAGGGCAACTACAAAGTGGCAGGTATGAATGGATTCTGATGATAATCATCGTTAAACTGGCTTTCTTTGATGATTCTGAATGTTGAATTTATTATTATTGTTATTATTATTATTATTATTATTTTTATTTTATTTATTTTTTTTACTTTCCTCAGGAGGATGTCCAGCTGTGGCTCTCCCACGTTGCCTTTTCTAAGAAATGGGTACGTAATTCAGCATTTCACCATTGATCAATTTAAATTTATGAATGCAGTGCAAAGAAGGGGCTATAACTATATATATATATATATATATATATATACATATATATATATATATATATATATATATATATATATATATATATATAATTATATGAGAAGATGACAGTTGCATATTATTCACATTTTTTTGCAGTTTTGAAATGGTCATTTCTTTTTTTCTCCTTGTTTTAGGGGACAAAGGCTCAGCTCAGCAAGGTCTTCTCCTCCATGCTCGCCATCCACCCCGACAAACCCAGTAAAGTTTCACTTGATGTTTCTTATCATATCACTGTCTAAACCTTTATTCATGTTTTAAAATTATTTAAAAACACCAGGGTTTTTTCACAATTCCACAATTTGAGATGAAAACAGAGTGATTCAGAGTGGTTTGGTGTGAAATGGTTTAGAAGTCTTTACAGTGGTGGTGATGGGAACCAGGGGTCGCCATGACTGCAACACAAATATAGACATTTTATTTACTATCCAAAACCACCAGTGAACCTACACGTGTCTTCTGAGTTTTATATGGAATGTTGATGATGGGAAAATAGTGGAAAATCTCAAATAATAATGTTTCTTTGGGGCCTCACAGCATCCTGCATGTATCCCTCCACCATGAATTGAGTTACAAAAAATAGGTGAAATCTTCTCAAAACTAACTTAAAACAGTGTCTCTGTGAGCTTTTAGAGGTGGACGTCTGGTTCCTATCACCACCACTGTGAACAATTCTGACTCTGTTTCTCTAGAATAGAGCATTTCACACAAACCACTCTGAATGACTCTGTTTGCATTATGCAGAATATTTTAAAAATCAGTAGAATTCCCCTTTAATTTTTTCTAAGTGTCTTAATTCCCCTTTTTACCTTCATCTACAAAGTTATCATTTCAGATGTAAGAGGTTTTGTTATGACCGAAACAATATCCAAGCATATATTCACTGCTAGAATGATCTGACCAGGTTTATGGATCATGGCTGCCAAATGTGAGATGGAGGACCTTGATTCGTCGGAGAGTGCTCGTCATCTCTTCCTGCGTGCGCTTCGCTTCCATCCAGAGAACAAAAAGGTCTACCAAGAGGTAGAGGTCTTACTGTATTAATAATCGAGTAATCTGCTTCTTTTATTGTGATCATTAATTGAATAATTCAAGTTTTAAAAACAAGCCAGATAAGGAGAATGGAATTAACTAAACAATAACAATGCCACGCCTCTGTAAAGATCCCAGAATGCTTTATTGGGAAAAGATAAATGAGAAAGCCTTTAAAAAGATTTCATCAAAAATGCATATATACACCTGGAAGAAAAAATGCACAAGATCAGATTCTGACCAGAAGGCTGGCTTTACACTGTGAAACTTTCATCCAATTTTAGTTGCTTGGAACCTACATGAAACCACATTGAATTGCACAGTGTAAAGGGTCCTACAACTCACTTGAAAACAAGCCGCAACAGTGGCGAGCGTCTCAACTTTGTGAAACAAGTTTCATGAAATGGCCGATCAAAACGGTGATAACTCATCATGTGATCACATCAAAATGAATGTTTCACCAAATCAGTTGCCAAGAAAAT